CGGGTAAAGCCCCCACCTGCAAAGCCATCAACCTTACATAGGCAGTGGTTTGAGTCCTGGCTGCTCCACTTTTGATCTGGCTCCCTACTAATGGCCTGGGAAGAGCAGTGGAGCATGGCCCAAGTGCTTGGGCCTCTGCCACCCACGTGGGAGACCCAGAAGTTGTTCCTGGCTCCTGGCTTCAGCCTGGCCCTCCCCCAGCCATTGTGGCCATCTAGGGAGTGGACCAGTGGATAGAAGATCTCTCTCTAAGTTTCAAATAAATAAATAAATAAATCTTAAAATAAAATGAGTGCAGTGGGAAGCAGTTGGAGAACTTTAAGTAGGATTGTATTATAGTCTGAGTTGATGTTTAATAGAGATCACTTTGGCTTCTTTGTGGAGGATGTGGTTATACGGAGAGACCTGCCTGGAAACAGGAACTGCAATTAGGAGGCTATGGTTGGAGTCTAGGCAAGGAATGTTGATAGTGATTTGTATATAGATGGAGGCGGTGGAGATAGATGGAAAGAACTGAGTTGAGGTATACTGCAAAAGTAGGATAGCCAGGACTTACTGAGGATGACTGGGGATGGGAATGTGGGGCTCCTTTCTCTGTCTCTCCTCCTCACTGTCTGGAACTCTAACTTTCAAATAAATAAATAGAATCTTTAAAAAAATAAAGGGGGGGGGTTGTTGGCGCTGTGGCACAGAAGGTTAATCCTCCACCTAAAGTGCTGGCATCCCATATGGGCACCGGTTCTAGTCTCGGCTGCTCCTCTTCCGATCCAGCTTTCTGCTATGGCCTGGGAAAGCAGTGGAAGATGACCCAAGTCCTTGGGCCACTGCACTCGTGTGGGAGACCAGAAGAAGCTCCTGGCTCCTGGCTTCAGATCGGCACAGCTCTGGCCGTTGCGGCCATTGGGGAGTGAACCAGCGAATGGAAGACCTTTCTCTCTGTCTCTCCTTCTCACTGTCTGTAACTCTAACTTTCAAATAAATAAATAAAATCTTTAAAAAAAAAAAACGAAATGGGAATATGGGAATGTGAGGAAAACTTCCCCCGCCCCCCCAGAGGTTATTTTGTTTTGGGGGGCGGGGAGGAGAAATTGAGAACCAAGTTATGTTTAGACCCACTTAAATTTGAGATAGTTGTTAGACATGCAAGAAGAATTGTAAACAGACAGTTTGAAATTAGGGGCTTGAAGCTCAGGAGAGGGGTTAGAGCTAGAGAAATAAATATAACATGGAATTCATCAACATGCAGTGTATTACTTGCTTGAGGATGTATTTTCTGATCACTGTCAGCCAGGTAGTAATCATAATATAATTCATTTGCTGTTTGAACATTCACAGGCAGATTGCTGGGAACCAAACTTTGCAAAATGAATGTCAGCAGCTTGGGGGGAAAATCCAGCAACACTGTTGGAGCACTTTTTTAACCCTCAAAAAAACAAATGATTTGGGAGAAGGGAGGAGAGAAGCATTGAACCATACACATTGTGGACATTTCCTGAAACCAGAGCCAAAAGTACAATTGTCCTTTGGTATTCACAGGAGATTGGTTCCATGTCCTACTCCACCCCATACCAAAATCTGCAGGTTCTCAATATCCTTACATAAAAGTTTCCTGGTCTCAGTGGACACAGTATAATGGTTGAGGTGCTGCATTTCATATCAGAGTATGTAGGTTTGAGTAGTAGCTCTGCTTCCAGTTCCAGCTTCCTGCAGATGATGGCTCAAGTACTTGCTTGGTTTCCTGCCACTCATGTGGGAGACCCAGATGAGTTCTAGACTCCTAGCATTGGCCTGGCCCTGCCCTAGCTGTTGTGAGCAATTGCACAGTGAACAGTGGATAGAATATCTTTGTCTGGCTCTTTATTTTTCAAATAAAATGATGATAAATAATGAATATAAAATGGCATAGGATATCTTATACACAAGAGATCTTTTTTTTAAAAGATTATTTATTTATTTGAAAGAGTTACACAGAGAGAGGAGAGGCGGTGGGGTCTTCCATCCTATGGTTCACTCCCCAGTGTACACAAGAGATCTTTAAAAAGCTCATGGACAATGCATACTGTGACAAAACTATGAATAGATTTCAAAAATTTTCTGCACCAAAATAAATTCCTTTATTTAATTTAATTCCTTTTATTCCCCCAAACTTTTTGAAGGACCCTTGTATAGATGTTCCTTGACTTATGATAGAGTAATTTCCTGATTAAACTCATTGTAAAGTAAAAAACAAAAACAAATTGAACCATCATGAATTGGGACTACTTCAAATCATCTCCAAATAATTTATAATACCTAATGTAATCTGTGTTATGTAAACAGTTTTTATACTGTATTGTTTAGGGAATAATAGAGCTAAGGCTGGACCAGCCTGGAGCCAGGAACTCAATGCAGGCGTCTCCCATCTGGGTAGCCCAGACCTACTTGAGTCATCACCTTCTACTCTCCAGGGTATAAGTTAGCAGGAATCTGGAGTGGAGAACAGAGCTGGGACTGAAACTCAGGCATCCTGATTTGCAATAAAGGCATTCCAAATCCCAAATGGCTGCTGAACTGCTGGGCCAGATGCCTGCCTTTGCCTCTGCTTTTTGGATTTTTTTTTCTCATATGTATGTGAGCTATGGTTGGTTAAATCTCTGGGTGTGAAACCTGCGGATACGGAGGGTCATCTGTAGTTAACTTTGTGAGTTTGGGACATAGCTTTTGATTAAGAAATGCTACATCACAAGAATTCTAAAATACAGAAGATGATATGGCATGAATAAACATAGACATCCCCTCTTGAGTAGAAAAATAATTTAGGGGATAGTATTGTGGTGTAACAGGTTAATCTGCCACTTGAGACCCAAGCATCCCATATCAGAGTACAGGTTCAAGTCCTGGCTGCTTTGCTTCCAATCCAGCTCCCTGCTAATGCACCTGGGAAAGCAGCAGATGATGGCCTACCTTGGGCCCTTTGCTACCCACATGAGAGACTTGGATGGAATTCCTGGCTCATGGCTTCAGCCTGGTACAGCTTTGTCTGTTGAAGGCATTTAGGGAACAGTGGATGGGAGATCTATCTGTCTCTCTCTCAAAAAAAAAGAAGGGGCCAGTGCAGTGGCGTAGCAGGTAAAGCCACAGCCTGAAGTACTGGCATCCCATATGGGCACCAGTTCAAGACCTGGCTGCTCCACTTCCGATCCAGCTCTCTGCCATGGCCTGGAAAGGCCGTGGAAGATGGCCCAAGTCCTTGGGCCCCTGTACCCATGTGGGAGACCTGGAGGAGGCTCCTGGCTCCTGCCTTTGGGTCAGCCCAGCTCTGGCTGTTGTGGGCATTTGGAGAGCGAACCAGCAGATGGAAGACTCTCTCTGCCTCTGCCTCTCTGTGACTCTGCCTTTCAAATAAATGAATAAATGTTAAAAAGGAAAGAAAAATGATTCAGAAGACTTGAACTTGAAGTTGTAGAGATACTTTCATCAATTTATTTTGTTTTATTAAGTTTATAAAAATGACATGATTAAAACCTCGGAGTGGGCATTCGATGCCTGTATCCCATATTAGGGTGCCTGGATTTGAGTCCCATGATTTGCCTCTTATTCCAGCTTTCTTCTGATAGACACTCTAGGAGGCAGCAGGTGATGGTCAAGTACTTGGGTTCTTGCCACCCACATGGGAGACCTGGATTGAGTTTTGGTCTCCTGGCTTCAGCCTCTCCTAGACTGATGTTGCAGGCATTTGGGGAGTGAACTAGCAGATGAGAGATCTCTGTCTATCTGCCTTTCAAATAAAGTGAAAATAAATAATTTTTTAAAACTCTATCTAAAACAACTCTTTCAATCATTATACAATTGTTTTTAAAAATTTTCTTTTGAGGCCAGTGCTCTGGCGTAGCAGGTAAAGACACCGCCTGTAGGGCTGGCATCCCATGTGGGCACCAGTTCGGGTCCCAGCTGCTCCACTTCCAATCCAGCTCTCTGCTGTGGCCTGGGAAAGCAGTAGAAGATGGCCCAAGCCAAGAAGTAGTTCCTGGCTTTTGGCTTTGGATTGGTGCAACTCTAGCCATTGTGGCCAGTTGGGCAGTGAACCAGCACATGGAAGACATTCTCTCTCTCCCCCTCTCCTCCTCTCCCCTTCTCTTTCTATGTAACTTTGACTTTCAAATAAACAAATCTTTAAAAATTTTTTTTCTTTTAACTGATGGGTAGAATTGTACATATTTATGGAATGCCATGGGATGTTTTGATACATACATATACTGTGTAATGTTCAGATCAAAGTAAACATAGTTATCTCTTCAAACATTTATCATTTCTTGGAGGTAAAAACATTCAAATACCCTTTAGCTTTTTTTTTTAAGAGAAATATACAGTACATTATTATCTGTAGTCACCCGTTGTGCAGTACTACACCAAGGCTTCTTTCTCCTATCTAATCATAACTTAGCACTGTTAAAAATATAAATTCTAAGTTTTAAAAAGGCATCGCATTGTACATGGTTTAATAGGCAGAATTTTCTTTTAATGATATTAGAAAAGTGGTGTTTCATAGAATTGAAAGATTTTAGATTCAGTGAAACATTGCAGGTGATATAAACCAGGAAATAGGTGAGTAAAGAATTGGAGTTTCATAAAATCTAATACATGCATGCAGTGTGCCTCACCAGACTTCATCCTCATCCTTCAAGACTCAATCCAAGGATCAGAGTCCTCTGCAAAAGCCTTCTCTGACATCCTCCAGCTCTCCTACAGAGGCTAGGCACAGAAGAAGAAAAAGAAGGCTATGGATTAGCTAAATGCGCCTTGCTGCTTTTATCCACTGTGATTTTATTTCCTCTCTATTTGTGCTTCTAGGGGGAAAGAAAGGTAGAGGGTAATGATGGGTGTTTATGCAGTAGGCATCTAAGAGTGATGGTAGGAGCAGAACTTAGCAGACGAATCAGACTTTGAAGAACCATCTTAATTTTCTGGGGATTTTCGCTAGCCAAATGTGTGACCTATGTCTCCGTACTTCTTTTTTAAAGGAAACCCCAGAAGAAAAGACCATAAACTTGAGCTCTATTCAGGTAAATAAATTTACTTTCTTCATGATCAAGCATTTCAAATAGCTTATTTTGTTCAAGAGAATTGATATGTTTTCTTTTCCCCAAATCTGAAGTCTGCTGCCTCCACAAAGTCAAAGTGAGATGTTTGTCTCCTGAATTCATTCCAGTGACTTTTATGTGAATTTATTGCCGTATGCCCTCGTCTTTCTTTTCTAGGATATAACTCTTCATAGTTTGACTCTTGCTGTTGTGACCATTCATTGTCTGATTTTATAGTAGCATGAATATGAAGTAATGAGACCAATTTAAGAAATCACGCACAATTGTCTCATTATTATACAACCTCCTACTATGCACATATTATAAGTGATAATATAATAATTTCTTCTCCTTTGTTATATATTTTAGATATTGATATTGTTGGAGTGTGGGAATGATAGCACATTTCCATTTCACAGTATGTTGTTCAATTGAACAGCTAAATTTTTTCTTAAGATTTTATATATTTATTTGAGAGGTAAAGTTACAGACAGTGAGAGGGAGAGACAGAGAGAAAGCTCATCCATCCGCTGGTTCACTCCCCAAATGATTGCAGCGGCCAGAACTGAGCTGACTGGAAGCCAGGAGCTTCTTCTGGGTCTCCAACACAGGTGCAGGGACCCAAGGACTTGGGCCATTTTCCACTGCTTCTCCAGACCATAGCAGAGAGCTAGATTGGAAGTGGAACAGCCAGGACTAGAACCAGCACCCATATGGAATGCCGGCGCCACAGGTGTAGGATTAACCCACTGCACCACAGCACCGGCCCCTGAACAGCGAAATTTTTTTGCCAGTATATTAAAAGGAATATTTAGTCCTGGGATATTGAGTACTTAGTAGTTTGAATATTACTTGGTGACTGAACTCCAAATATAAACTTGACCCTTCTGAACTAACTCTTGCAACTGTGCATCCAGGATGCTGTGAACTTTTCCTAAGGAACAAAAAGACTATAAAGAATAAGTATGGTCAACTATTGGATAAATAATTTTCCTTTCTCTGTGCTTGCAGGGAAAGAAATGGAACTTGTATTTGGACTATTTATTTTCAGAGGAGTTACAAGGCTTGAAACTTTTCATAGAAAGTTGTATTCGTCGTTCTTCTGTCTCCTGATCGGAGAGCACAAACCACAATGATCAATATTAAATGATGCTGATGTAAACAACATGCCAAACTACATTACTTCTTCAGTGCTAGAGAGACCAAGTAGCTCAGCTTGAGTTTCCATATTCACTTCACTAACACTGCCATCATCCACGAGTACCTGGACTGGCCTTCTTTCTGTGGAGGAGAGCCTTCGTATCACTAACTTATTTTTCAGCACTTAGCTTTTTAGGCTCCACCTTCCATCACATTATACATAAAGACACACACCTCTTTGGTAGTCGGGTTTTTCATATCTTTGTGTACTATAAGCTCCACTGATGGAAGAGAGGGGTAATGTACAGTGGCAGTTAATCCACAGACATGTACATGCAAAATACTCAGCTGCCTCTGAAACCTCTGGGCTATCACCATTTTTCTTGTTGTGAACAACAGCACTAGGACCAAGTTAACAGGGTACAACATGTATTACTAAGAGCCCTAGTAGTTGGTGACTTCCTGAGCCTTCACTGGTAGTGATTTAGTAAGAAAAGAAAGACTGAAGGACTGTGGGCTAGGGAAGACGTTTCTGTTTATACCAATTTGATTTTATGAAACTGCACCACTTTGTGTGTATATGTGTGTGTATATATATATATATATGCAGTCGTCAAGTGTTCAGGCCTAAATAAATTAATTGCAACTTTACTTTCAGATGTAATTCTGAAGCCTTTTAAAAGCTTCATAATAGCTGAAGTCTTGCTGAAACTATAAAATTCTGCTTCAGTGCTACTGAATAACTCCCCCTTTATTTTAATAAAGTTCATATCATTTAAAAGAAATCAGGCTTAATTTCTTTTTCTTTTTTTTTTTTTAATTTATTTATTTGACAGAGTTACAGACAGTGAGAGGGAAAGACAGAGAAAGATCTTCCTTCCGCTGGTTCACTCCCCAAATGGCCCCAGTGGCTGGAGCCGCGCTGATCCGAAGCCAGGAGCTTCTTCCGGGTCTCCCAGGCGGGTGCAGGGGCGCAAGAACTTGGGCCATCTTCTACTGCTTTCCCAGGCCGTAGCAGTAGAGCTGGATTGGAAGAGGAGCAGCTGGGACTAGAACCGGCACCCATATGGGATGCTGGCGCCACAGGCAGAGGATTAACCTACTGCGCCATGGTGCGGGCCCCAGGCTTAATTTCTTTTAAGCACACATCTTGTGATTCTTTTTTTCCCCAGTAAAATCTAAAAATATTAACTAGGTAGTATTCCAACAAGAAAATCCATTCATCCTTCATTCATTTATTGATTTGGTAAATATTTACTAAGTTGCTTCTATGTGGCAGGTATTCCGCAGTGGGTTGGTTGTACAGTTATGACCAATATAAAGTACTTTTATGGAGTTTAAATCCCAGTGGAAAAAATAGACAATAACATTATAAGGAAATATATAATATAATATCAGGAAATATATAATTTCAACAAGGAATAGGGACAGAATGTGAAAAGAGATATTTTAGAGTGGTGAAGGAGGGCCTGTTTGGGGAGGTGACGTAGACAGAGACCCTAATGCAGTAAGCATAGGAACCTTGTAACTGCTTCAGCAGAGTATTCTAGGAAGAGGTAAAGACAAATGAAAAGGCCCTAAAATGTTAACTTGCTTGGCATGTTTGAGAAAGTGCAGAGGGGCTCGTAAGGTTTCAATATAGAGAAGAATTATGAGAAATAAAATAGGGGAGAAAGCCAGAAATTAATTTGTGAAAAGTCCTTGTAGCCTGGCATGGACAAGTAAGTGGAAAGCCATTAGAGAGATGGAGAAGAGGGACAACATGCTTTGACTTAACTGCACTATGAGGGTTCAGCTGAAGAGAGTTAAGGGGGCAAGCACAGAGACCAGTTAGGTTATCATAGCATGCCAGTAGTGTGATAGATGAGGAGAGGTGGTTAGATATTGGATTCAGGCTCTGCTTTGAAGGTAGAAAAGCTAGGATCTGCTGGTAGCTTGAATGTGAGGAAAAGGAAAGAGGCATAAAGGATGACTACTAGATGTTTTTTTACCTAAAAAGCTAAGTTCTTAGATGCCTAGATGAGGTAAACAGGAGGAAGAATAGGAATGGAGGATGCTATGGTTTGAACAGGATTTGGCTTCCAAGCTTACTCAGATGTTTATTTCCCAAATTCATAAATTAATGGTACTCAAGCGGGTAAAAATTTAATCCTATTATGGTGATCAGGAAGCGGGCCTAGTTAGAGGTCCTTAGGTCATTGGGGGTGTACCCTCAGAAGGTCTCGTGAGAAGGTTGGTAATAAAAGCCTTAGCCCTGGCTGCTCTCTCTGCTTCCTGATTTGCCATATGAGCCTTCCTCTGCCCACATCAGATGTCAAATCAGTGGGGCCTCCCAGTCTTGGTTTGTGAACTTCCAAAACCAGGAGCTGAAATAAACCTTCTTTGATATTTCATTGTAACAGAAATCTAACACAGATGAGTATGGAATTGGAGTTTTGTGCATATTAGGTTGGAGATGCTGAGGAGGCAATATTTGAGTCTGGATTTCAGGATACAATTTGAGACTGGAAAAAAATTGGGAGTCATCAGGGAAAACCATGACATTGGATAAAATCACTGTTTGTAAACATAGGAGTAAATTTTCATGGTCTTGGATTAGACACTGATTTCTTAGCCATGGCCTCAAAGGCATACACAATAAAAGAGAAAATGAACTTTATGAAAAAGCTTTTTTTCTTTAAAGATTTATTTATTTATTTGAAAGGCAGATTTACAGAGAGGCAGAGAGAGAGAGAGAGGTCTTCCATTGTGCAGGTTCACTCCCTAAATGACTGCAATGGCCAGAGCTGCACTGATCTGAAGCCAGGAGCCAGGAGTTTCTTCTGGGTCTCCCTCATGGGTACAGGGGTCCAAGGACTTGGGCCATTTTCTACTGCTTTCCCAGGCCATAGCAGAGAGCTGGATTGGAAATGGAGCAGCCAGGACTTGAACCAGCGCCCATATAGGATGCCGGCACTGCAGGTGGCAGCTTTACCTGCTATGTCACAGCACTGCTCCCCCACATTTTTTTAATTCTGTTTTCAAACAAGACCATTGAGACAGTGAAAACACAGAAGGAGAGAAAATGTGAATCATATATCTGATAATCATTTTTTATCCAGAATATATAAGAACTCTTACAGCTCAATAATAAAAAAAAGTAAATGGGCCAAGGATCCAAAAAGACATTTCTCCCCAGAAAGATAGGTGAATGGTTAATAACAACATGAGAAGATGCTAAACACCAGTCATGATTATGTAAATTCTAATGGAAACCACAAAAGCAGCATTTAGCTCAGTGTTAAGACTGGTTAAGTCACCAGTATCTGATATGGGCAGAGTACCTGAGTTCAATACCTACCTCTCGCTCCTGACTTCAGTTTCTTGGTAATGCAGATTGTGGGAGGCAGCAGTAATGGCTCAAATAATTGGGTTCCTGCAACCCACGTGGGATAGCTGGATTGTATTCCAGGCCATTTCAGCCATTTGGGAAGTGAGCCAGTAGGGAGTACTCTCTGTCTCTTTCTGCCTCTGAAATAATTTTTTTTAAAAAAAAAGCCACAACTTCACACTCATTGGGATGGTATAATAAACGAAAGACAGTAACAAGGGTTGGCAGGGAAATGGAGAACTTAAAATACTCATACATTGCTGACTAGACTGTAAATGCTGCAGCCACTTTTTTGGGAAAGAGTTTGACACTGCCTCAAAATGTTAAACAGTCTCCATATCACTGAGCAGTTCCACTCCTGGATATATACCTAAGATAAATGCAAACATGAGCCATCTTCAGAATGTTGATGGAAAATACCTATTATGAAAAAACTGTTGCAGGTTTTTCTTTCTGCCAAATTTTTAGAAATTTTACAGCTATTTTTTTAAAGATCTATTTATTTATTTGAAAGTCAGAGTTACACAGAGAGAGGAAAGGCAGGGAGAAAGAGTTCTTCCATCTGCTGGTTCACTCCCCAATTGGCCGCAACGGCTGGAGCTGCGACGATCCGAAGCCAGGAGCCTGAAGCTTCTTCCGGGTCTCCCACGTGGGTGCAGGGGCCCGAGGACTTGGGCCATCCCCCACTGCTTTCCCAGGCCACAGCAGAGAGCTGGATGGGAAGTGGAGCAGCCAGGTCTGGAACCGGCTCCCATAAGGGATGCCGGCACTTCAGGCCAGGGCGTTCACCCGCTGTGCCACAGTGCTGGCCCCTTTACAGCTATTTCTGCTGGGTTCTTGTCTCACATCCATGAAGATTTACGCACATGGACAAAGGAAAGTGAGCAGAAAGGAAAGTTTAGTAAGCAATAATTAAAGTGAAATAGAGAGCTCTAGGCAGTCTTGGGAGTGGTCCCAGATGGGGTGGCCAAAGAAAAGATTGTATCTAGGGGTTTTTATGTGCTACAAAAGGAACATTCTCATGATTGGTTGGGAGAGATACAAATAAGGCATTGAACACTGACTGTTTTGATTGGCTCCTGACTATGAAAGTTAAGTCTCCAATTACAGAAGCCAGTTGCTTGACTTCTGTCAGGTCCAACAAGACTTATCCCTAGATGGTGGTGGGGGAACCCCCTTGTTCCTGTCTACCTAGCTGAGGGCCTCTATCAAAATTTTGTGTGGATTTTAATTTTTTTAAAAGATACATTTCTTTATTTGAAAGCAGAGTGGCAGAGATGGGGTGGGTGAGATTAGGGGTATGGGGTTTGGGCCAGGCTGAAACCAGGGACCAGAAACTCCATCTGGGTCCCTAATGTGGATGGCAAGGACCCAAGTACTTGGACCATCATCTGTTGATTTCCCAGGTACATTAGCAGGGAGCTAGATTTGAAACAGTAGCTGGGACTCGAATGCATACTAAAATATTGGATGCCAACATGCAAGCAGTGGCTTAACTCTCTGTGCCACAGCACCTTGCCTAATTTTAGGAATTCCTAAAGGTAAATAGATTTATGTATTTGAGACATTTTGAATTCAGCAAGGAAAATAGATTCACTGGAATAATTTTCTCAAATACGGGTAAGTGGAAGTAGGTTATGAAATTGCTTGTAGGTAAAATATCACTAATGTCCTCTCAAAAAAGTTTTTGACCGGTTTTACCAACATTTGCATGTTTTTCTTCCAAGAATAAAACCTGTATCTGTAATGGCTGTATTCAGACAAATAAAGCATGACTAGAGTCATGACAAAGTATTTAATTTCTCTAATTCTGAATGCGGATACAGCTATAGTGAATGATATTTTAAATAGAACTGGGAAACTTTTCCATGTTTTTAAGTGGAGAATTTTATGAAAAAATGCTACTTATTTGAGGGGTGAGAATTGTAAAGAGTAGGTTTATATTAAAAACTTAGTCCCATTTTTAAGGCACTCTATGTAAACTATCTTAGCAGTGTTTAGAATCCCCAATGTTACTGCCGAATCTAGGATAGAGGTGAGGAACTGTTTCTCTGCCAAGGGCCATTTGGATATTTATAACATCATTTGCGAGCCATACAAAATTCTCAACTTAAAAATTAGCCTGCTGTAGGTTTATTGAATTTCAAGTCCTTGGAAGAGGCAGACCACATAATTTTGCAGGCTGGAAGTTCCCTACCCTTGATCTAGGATAACCTACCATCTCCCCCTTCCCCATGGTTATTTACTCCCCTGGAAGGAAGTAAGAATTTGACCTCTGCAACTTAGCTTCTACAGGTACAGCAAAAGGTGCAGCAAAAGCTGGAGTAGGGAAAATCATCATGTTGAACTGAATGGGGAACTAGAGTACAATTTTTTTTAAGATTTATTTATTTATTTGAGAGGTAGTTACAGACA